ATCTTTAAGAAAAAAAAAATTTCACTCATTCACCAGTGATGTGAGTGGCTTCTTTGTGGAACTGAATAATAGTTTTCAAATCCTGGAAAACTGTCTCCTCAATTTTAGGGTGTTGTTTATGTAAGAGCTACTAACATGATGCACTTTCAAATTTAATGTGCATTACTAACATTTCCCCCCCTTTTCAAAAAAAAGTTTTATATATTTTTTTACATCATTTTTATTTTTGCACAATGTATGCATTTTCATTTTGGTTATAGTTGCTTGTTGATTTTGATTTTTACTTTATTATAATTAGTCTTTTTTCTGATCCCTTATTTAGGTTTTCTAAATTCCTGCTATGAGTGAGACCATCCAGTATTTTCCTTTTTCTTTCTGGCTTATTTCACTGAACATGATCCCTTCCAGCTCTATCCAGGTTGCTGCAAATTGCATGAGTTATCTTTTTTTGATTGCTGAGTAATATTCCATTGTGTATATGTGCCACATCTTGATCCAGTCATCTATTTTGGGGCATTTGCATTCCCCCCCCCCTTTTAAAGTATAGACGATCAACAATAAATCAACTTTTGAGTTTTGACTTGATTTATTTGCCAATTTCCAATATATAAATACTCCTGCCATGGCCAATTTCAAGCTATCAATTGATGTCAGTGAACACAGGGTTGGGAGATGAGCAGTGCCAGGCCCACCATAATAGTATTTCCACCAGAAGCATGGGCCATAGTAAAATATAGCAAATTAGGATGTGATGAGTCTTAAGAATTTATGAAATTTATGTCTTCAGTACTTTATTGTAAGTTTTTATAAACTTCATTCTTAATTTTAGTAATGACTAACAATACTTGCAAAATTCCTGAAATTTAAGCAATTTTCTCTGGGTTCCAGTGGCCTCAACACATTGCTATGTATAGGTGTCCTCTACCCACTCTGACACAGCCCATCAATCCCTCTCTTACCTTCTCACCTGCATTCATATGTTTACCCTTTGGTTCATTTTCTATTCACTCCATAACTCACCACAACCTGACTTTTGCCCTTTTTTGTGACAGAGCTTGTAACTAGTAAGTGAAATCTCCTTTCTTCCACTGGCCCCTGAATTCCAGTTTTCCCCAGGGCTCTGTCTTAGGTGGTCTGCTTTTCTCTTCCTATACACTTTGTTTTGTTGATCTCATCCAAACCCCTGACATTAAGTATACCCAAACCTGTAATTCTCTCTTTCTGGAACTCCAGGTCCATTTTCCAACAGTGTATTGGTCATTTCACTTGTTTGTCTCATGGCAATTCAAACAGCATTTCAAGAATGAATTGAGTGTTTCTCCATCCTTCAACCTCCACACCCAAAATCTGACTTTGCCTCTTTTTTTTTCCTGCCTCAATAAATGAAGATAACTTACTAAGACGTTGGAGCCAGGTACCTGGAAGTCATCCTTGATTCCTTTCTTTTATTCATTGTACTTACCTTTCTCTCTGGTACCAAATCCAGATTTGCTCATCCATCCATCCATTCCTTCAGCAAATGTGCATTAGAATGGCATCTTATATCAAACAAGAGCACTAGAGCTTGATGTCAGTCTGCCAAGAATCAAATCCTGCCCTTGGTAATTTTGGGAAACCTTCTCGACCACTCTGTGTCTCCGTTTTCTTAAATATAAGTGGGGATAATAATAGAATCTTCCTCCCAGGGAATGGAGAGATTGAAATGGTTGCTCTGGGAAAAACATGTAAAACACAGCCTGACACAGCAAGCACTGAAGAAATGTTAGCTGTTAATATATATTGAGCTAAATAATCATGCCAGGACAGCAGCCTCAGTAAGTATTCGTTTCCCAGAGATGCTGTAACAAAGCAGTCCAGAGTGGGAGCCTTAAACAACAGATATTTATTGTCTTATAGTTCTGGAGACTAGAAATCCAGAAATTAAGGTATCAGAGGGGTCATATTCCCTCTGAAACCTGTAGGGGAATCTTTCCTTGCCTCTTCTTAGCTTCTGGTGGTTTGCTGGTCATCTTTGGCATTCCTTGGCTTGCAGTTGTTTCTTTAATCTCCATTTGCATCATCACATGGCATTCTCCTTGGTCTCTACCTTCACATGTCATGTCCATAAGTCATATTGGTCTAGGGGCTCACTATACTCCAATATGATCTTATTACATCCACAGTACCCCTGTTTCCAAATAAGACTACATACTGAGATACTGAGAATTAGGGCTTCAACATATTTATTGATATGTTAGAGACTCAATACAATTCATAATGGGTAGGAACTATGATAAAGGGATCATAGCTTACTCTTTGTCTTCTTACCTCCTGTCCCTATAATGCTGTCTTGTTCCTTTCGTCTTGTAATATCTACGGATTACATCCTGCTCTGGCCCTGCCATCTCCCATCCTGAACTTTCAGGTAAAGGGTTGACATAAAAGAGCCTTCTTGTTCTAGCTCCTTCTTGTCTTTCTACACTGAACTTTACAGCCCAAAAAGCTGTTGATAGTTCCCCAAATGTATCATTCTCGTTGACAGTTCTGATGAGGGCCATTCTTTCTGCCTTGGCTCTCACCCTCATTTCTTCACCTGTCTGGGAAAGATTCTCCTGACCCTCCCCAGACCTCTTCTGAACTCCTTTGGTACCCCACGCACACCCTGAACATAGGGTTTACTGATATCATTATTTTCTTTTTTTTTTTTTTTTATAGAGGCATGTTTTTATTTATTTATTTATTTATTTATTTATTTGTTTGTTCATTTGTTTTGTTTATACATGCACTGGGTACAGTCAGAATTGCGGGAGGGTGAGAGAATTCACCAGAGCCAGAGCGGGGAGCAGAGCAGGCAGAAGGACCGAAGTACACTGCTGAGGGGAGCAGCGGGCGGCAGGAGAGGTCTGCGCACCATGTGGGACCCTCCTCCAGTGGCCGGGGAGCAGCCGGGAATCGAACCGGCGCTGCAGAGACTGCAGGCAGCTTCGCAACCCAGCGCTCAACCGCTGCGCCACCGGGGAGGCCCTGATATCATTATTTTCTTTGTGCTTTCCTGATAGGACAGAATGTCCCTTGAGGTCTGGGACTGACTTCATGTCTCCAGTTGTTAGACATGAGTGTCATTTTCAATCTATTCCCCATTGTAAGTAATACTGTAATGAATATCTTTACTTTGAAATACTTTTTCAAATTTAAAATTATTTCTTTAGGTACAGCCCAACAATAAGAAGACAAACCACCAAATTAAAAAAATGGATAAAAGACTTGAATAGAGATTTGTCTAAAGAAGATATACAACTGGCCAACAAGCACGTGAAAAGATATTCAACGTCAATAGTCATTAAGAAAATGAAAATCAAATCTGTAATGAGATATCACTGCATACCCATCAGTATGGGCATAACAACAACAACAAAAAAAAAAAAAAAAAAAAACCAAAAACAAGGAGGATGTGAAGATGGAGAAGTTAGAAAATTCTGGTGGGAATGTAAAATGGTGCAGCTGCTGTGGAAAACAGTTTGGTGCTTCCTCAAAAGGTTATACATGGAATTACCATATGATTCAGCAACTCCACTCTTAGTGAATACCCAAAAGAACTGAAACAGATGCTCAGCAAAAAATTGTGCACAAATGCCTATAGTGGCACTATGCACAATAGTAAAAGGTGGAAATGACCCAAATAGCCACCCATGGATAAATGGATAAACAAAATGTGGTATATATCCATTCAGTGAAATAGCACTCAACCATAGCAAAGGCATGAAGTACTGGCCCATGCTACAATGTGGATGAACCTCAAAAATGTCATGTTAAGTTAAATGACTCAAGCACAAAAGGTCACATAGTATATGATCCCATTTATATGAAATAGTCAGAATAGAGTCACAAAGCAGATGGGGGTTGCTGGAGTAGAGAGGAGGGGAAAAATGGGATTAATTGCTTAATGGGTACAGATTTTGTTTGGGGGTGATGAAATGTTTTGGAGCCAGATAGAGTGGTGGTTGCACAACATTGTGAATGTACCAAATGTCACTGAATTACACATTTTAAAATGTTTATTTTTATGTTAAATGAATTTTGCTTCAATAAAAATTAAATCAAAAAGGAATGAAATACTGTTACATGGTAAATATGGATGATTCTTAACCATGTTACTCTGAGTGGGAGAACCCAGACATAGAAGGTCACATGTTGTGTGATTCCATTTATATAACAAAATCAGAATAGATAAATTCATAGAGACATAAAGCAGAATAATCGTTGCCAGGGGCTGGGGCAGAAGGAAATAGGGAGTGATTGTTTCATGAATAAGAGGATTCCTTTTGGGGTGATGAAATGTTCTGGAACTAGATAATGGTAATAGTTGCACAACTTTGTGAATGTAATAAATGCTACTGAATTGTATATTAAAAATGGTTAAAATGGTAATTTTGTGTTATGTGTATTTTACCATGCATAAAAAAGTTTCCTTGGGAGACACATCTTGAAGTGAAGTGAGAGTCAACCACTTGCTTTAATTGCTCAGTTTCTGTTGAGAAGCGTGTCACTTGTCCCATGCTGCCCAATGGTGCCATTCCACCATTGATGTTTGAGAATCTGTATTGTCTCTTCACTATACTTGAATACTATGGTTTAAAAAAGACCAAAAAACATCATTAATTTGTTACAGTACTGCTCCCCTTTTGGGGGATTTCTTTGTGCTTCCAAGCTAAAGGTTAAATTAAATGAGAGGTGTATAGGAACATATCCTGAATAAACAGATTTTAAAACTGGGAAGAGACCTCAAGAGCATGCAACCTCAAGAGCAACAACCTTACTATCCTGAAATAAAATTCACAGATAGCTAAACTGTATGATTCAGTCCTTCAGACAATGTAAATCCTGAGCTATTTTCCTGGGCTTGAATTCCTGCTCTCCTGCTTATTAGCCATACTATTCTGTGCCTCAGTTTCTTCATCTATTAAATGGCGCAAATGTCAGTGTCTACCTCATAGGATTGCTTTGAGGATTAAATAAGTTTGTTTTTTTTTTTAAAAAAGACACATTTATTCAGCGTCATGATCAGACTATTACATTTAGCAATCAACAGCATGGGTGCAAAAAAAAAAAAAAAAAAAACTACATAAAACCCTTTGTTGGAATGCTTTACATTTTCCACAGAACAGAAACTAAAATAACCTGTTATACAATTAGTCACAAATACAGTCCTCGAGATTTTTTGCCCATACACATGAGTATTGTCTAAAACATGTCTTCTTTGTAGCAGCTAGGCCCTGCCACCACTGTGCTTGGCTGAGTTCACAAATCTGTTGTAACCTGTAGCTTCCCTGTCACTTCTCTGGCTCTCCTCTCCTGCTGAGCTTTGTTTCCTGGCAGTTAATTAAAACCTTCTTCCACTGCCTTAGCTGCTGCTGCTGCTGGAACCACCACAGCCACCTTGGTTTCATGGTTTGGCGAAGTATTGGCCTCCACCACCATAGGGGCCAGAGCTTCTGCCTCCAAAGTTTCCTCCTTTCATGGATCCAAAATTTGAAGATTGATTATTGTAGTTGCCAAAATCATTGTAGCTTCCACCACCTCCAAAAGTGCTTTCATCATTACCAAATCCATTATAGCCATCCCCACCGCCACCATATCCACCACCACCACAGCTGCCACCAAAGCCACCTCTACCACTGAAGTTTCCTCCACAACCAAAGTTGTCATTCCCACCAAAACCACCTCCACGACCACCACCAAAGTTTCCAGATCCGTTTCGACCTCTTTGGCCGGACGAAGCACTGGCCATCTCTTGCTTAGATAAGGCTTTCCTTACTTCACAGTTGTGGCCATTCACAGTATGGTATTTCTGAATGACAATTTTGTCTACAGAATCATGGTCATCAAAGGTTACAAAAGCAAAGCCTCTCTTCTTGCCACTGCCTTGATCAGTCATGATTTCAATCACTTCAATTTTCCCATACTGCTCAAAGTAATCTCTTAAGTGATGTTCTTCAGTGTCTTCCTTAATCCCACCAACAAAAATCTTTTTCACAGTTAAGTGGGCACCAGGTCTTTGAGAATCTTCTCTTGACACAGGCCTCTTTGGTTCCACAACTCTTCCATCCACCTTGTGTGGCCTTGCATTCATGGCTGAATCCACCTCCTCCACCGTGGCATACAGGACAAACCCAAAGCCTCTGGATCGCTTGGTATTTGGATCTCTCATCACCACACAGTCCGTGAGCGTTCCCCATAGCTCAAAATGGCTTCTCAGACTCTCATCAATAGTTTCAAAGCTCAAACCTCCAATGAAGAGCTTCAAAAGCTGATCCGGCTCCTTGGGAGACTCTGACTTCGACATGATGGCAGTGGCAGGGAGACTGCTGCGATGCTTCCTTGCCGGCGTCCACACGCAGACTGAGGATTAAATAAGTTTTTATATGTAAAGTGCTTATAATTTCAACTTTAAAAAAGAAATAAAAGGAAAGTAATTTCTAACACAGTGCATTTTTAAAAGGTTTATTTATTTATGCATACAAGAACTGGGGTACAGTCCAGAAGTGTGGGGGTAGTGAGAGGATTCACCAGAGACAGAGTGGGGACTAGAACAGGTAGACTGAAATACACAGCTGAGGGGAGAAGTGGGCGAGACATGAGAGGTCTGCTGTGCCATGTGGGTAGCTCCCTGGCCGGCGGGGGATCGAACTCGTGCTGCAGTGGCTGTGGATAGCTTCACAGTGCTGTGCTTAACTCCTCTAACAGGGAGGCCCCTCTAACATAATGCATTTAAACTTATAAATACCTAAGCATGATTACCCTAGAAGAAATAGGTATCTGCACCAATACATAACATTATTCTGGATGTGACAGCTATAAATGTGGACTGACATGGGGTGCTGTACCTCAAAAACTATGAACACTGCTTTTGGTGACATGTTCTTCCTAATCAATTATTGGGCCAATCCCTTGAAACTCATTTGAGTTGCCTTCCTGGGAAGCATTTTAAAAAATTTGCTCAGAGAGGGGCCTCCCTGGTGGTGCAAGGGGTTGTCTCAGCACTATGGAGCTATGGGCAGCCACTGAAGAACAAGTTCGATCCCCGGCCTGGGAGGTGACCCACATGGCTCAGCAAACCTCTCCTGTCTCGCCCACTGCTCCCCTCAGCAGTGTATTTCAGTGGATCCGCCTGTTCTGCTCCCCACTCTGTCTCTGGTGAATCCTCTCACTCCCCCACACCCCGCTCCACCTCTGGCCTATACCCCAACTCTTGTATGCATAAATAAATAAAATCTTTAAAAAAAAAAAAAACAACACAAACAGGGCCTCCCTGGTGGCGCATGGGGTTAAGCAGCGCACTATGAAGCAATCTGCATCCTCTGTAGCACAGTTTGACCCCGCCTGGCCAGGGAGCAACCCACATGGCGCAATAGACCTCTCCTTGGTTGCCCGCTGCTCCTCAGCAGTGTACTTCAGTTCCATCCGCCTGTTCTGTTCCCCACTCTGTCTCTGGTGAATCCTCTCATCCCCCCACACATTTGGCCTTATAACAGGACTGTATGGATGCTCTTGTATGCATAAATAAACCTTTAAAAACAAACAAACAAACAAACAAACAAAAAACCTACTCAGAGAATAAAAACTGGGCTCAGAGAATTTTACAGGTTTTTCACCCTCAAATGTGCATGTGCAATGGGGCATTTGAGTGGGACATGGGACCATTCTTTATTGTGTGGGACATCCTACAATTCCTGGAAGTCTAGAATCCCTGGCCCCTTCTTTTAAATGTCAGTATTCTGTAGTGGGTGTTCCCACCCCACTGAGAACTGTTCCAACCATCTTCTTTTCCAGACCAGGTTACAGAGACTCAGAGCGGGAATTGAAAATAGACACATCACCCTGCGTGCCCACCTGTCCTCCTCTTCAGCCATGTGATGATGTAGGGAGATGCCTTGTCCCTGCCATGTTTATTTAATTTCTTTCTTTTTTTTTTTGCCTACACATCGTCCTTCCCTCTTCCTCTCCCTTCTTTTTTCCCAACAGCCAACCCATCAGCAAGTTGTTTTGGCTGTACCTCCAACATGTGTCACTGTAGTAACCCTCTTCTGGTGGCCTACTCCCACCCTGCCCCGCGAAAACCTACTCTTCTACAGCCACAGGAGCTTTTTTCAAAGATCATATCAACCCAATTCTCTGCTTTGACTGCTCCAGAAGCTTCTCAGTACACTGAGAAGGAAAATTCTCACATGCAAATTCCTCACCCTGATCTCACACACCTGCCTCAAGGTCTTTACACCTACTGATCCTTCTACCTGCACCTCCCTTCTGTTCAGCCAGTTCTTGGAGAGCTGATCCCTTATCCTTCATGTCTATTTGAATGTCATCTCCTTAGAGAGCATCCCTGGCTACCTTATCCAAAGTAACGCCATGCCTCTATTCCTCTATTCTTGCTTTGTTCTTTGAGGCTACTTATCATGATTTGTTGTGGGGTTGTTTATTTGTTTGCTCATTCATCATCTGTCTTTCACTAGACTGTAAGCCACACTGGGGCAGATACCTCATTAGTCTCATTCTCTACTGGATCTCAGGATCCAGCACACTGTCTCAAGTGCTGCTCAATATTTTTTGAGTAATTGATTGGAGGCCTAGCACACAACTCAAAATGGACCAATCGAATCCTCCCCCAGTAATTTTGCAACTGGATTCACAGAGAAGTGCCTTTCTTATTTTAGTAAAGCTTGGAAAGTATTGGCAGTTGAATGTTCTGGGTCAGATAACTAGAAAGGAATCAATCACTGGGAAGTTTTGAGAAAGAGAAAGAACGGTGTAGGCATCTGGAGAATAGAGACAAGAGAGAGGCAGAGAGGGCGTCTTGCCGCTGGGGCAGGTGGGATCCAGCTGCTGACCTGCTCTCAGTGTGTGAGCGTGCACTTGCCCATCTCTGTCCCGATTGTGAAAAATCAATGTCATTGAGGCATAATTTCCATGCAACCAAAGTTGCTGATTTTAAATGTGTCATTTGGTGAGCTTTAACAAATATATACAGTCCTGTAACAACCACCACAATCAAGATATAGAACATTTCTGGGCTTCCCCGGTGGCGCAGTGGTTGAGCGCTGGGTTGCGAAGCTGCCCGCAGCCTCTGCAGCGCCAGTTCGATCCCTGGCTGCCGGATGAGGGTCCCACATGGCATGCAGACCTCTCCTGGCGCCTGCTGCTCCCCTCAGCAGTGTGTTTTGTCAGTCTGCCTGTTCTGTTCCCTGCTCTGGCTCTGGTGAATTCTCTCACCCTCCCGCGCTTCTGACTATACCCAGTGCTTGTATACATAAATTTAAAAAAAAAAATCTAAAAAAAAAAAAAGATATAGAACATTTCTGTCAGTTCAACAAAAGCATAGCCTAGTTCTTGAGCTCCATGTGATAGTCCATGATTCATTTTTCAAAAACAGCTTTGTTGAGGTATAATTGATATGCAACCAATTACACCTATTTAAAGAGCTAACTTGATAAGGGACGACAAATGTGTACAGTAGTGAAACCATCATCACACTCGAGAGACTGAACATCACCCAAAACGTTCCTCCTGCCTTTTGTAATCTGTCCCTCCCAGCCCTTTCTACCCACATCCCCAAGAAACCCCTAATCTGCTTTCTGTAACCATAGGCCAGTCTACATTTTCTGGAGATTTATATAAATGGAATCCTATAGTACACACTATTTTTTTCTGGTTTTTTTTTTTTTTTTTTTTACCCAGTATAATTATTTTCACATTACTCATGTTGTTGCAAATATTGAGCTCATTAAAAAAAAATCTGAATAGTATTCTGTTGGATGGATATGCCACATTTTATCTACTCATATACTGATGGGCATTTGGGTTGTTTCCAGTTTGGGATTATTACCAACAAAGCTGCTATGAACATTCCTGTACAAGTCTTTGTAAGGACATAATATTTCCTTTTCTCTTGGGTAAATACCTAGGCGTGGAATGGCTGGATCATATGTTACTCTTATGTTATTCTTAATAATCTATTTCTCCTTTCTGCTGAAGCCAATCAATTTAGGATTGGTCGAGGTCCCTCAGCAGGATGGGGACTCAGCTCCCTCCCTGCTGGCTCCCACCCCAGGCTCCTGGGCCCAAGTAGGGAGCTGCACCTTACCTTCCCAGGCACGTCCCATTTGACAAGCGATGTCGGCTTACATAAGCACACTGACCTCTTGCTTCTTGCCAAAGTCTAAAATCATGGAATCTTTTGCAAGTGTGCTTGCTGCCTCTGGACTAGAATGTTAAGTGCTGGCGGAGCTGTCTGGCTTAACAGTCCGATCATAATAATGCCTGTGGATGGACAAGGTCAGTGATTGACTCCGTGGAAGGAGAGCCTTAGATGAAAAGACAGTCTGAGGACAGGGAGCCGCAGGGATGAGCTGAGAATGAGGCGCAGGCTTTCAGAGCAGCTAAAGAGCCAGTGTTACCCGGACAACATGCTCTTACATTTGAGTATTTCTGAAAAAAGAAGTGCATTCAGATGACTGAAAATCCAAGAGCTGGGGTAGGTATGCAGCCCAGTGAGAATTGTTTTCCTTACCCACGTCCCAGCCACTGAGTTTTTCCCTCCAGAAGCAACAGCAATGCCTCCCCACTCCCAGTTCTTTATAGATTCTTCCAGAGATTTTCACATAAAGAGATTTGCATGTTCAAGAACCTTTGTATAGAATGTGTGTGTGGCATTTTTTACACAAGTGTCAGCAGGCTAGGCCCATCATGGTTTCACTTTACAGGTCTTAGAGTTCAGTCCTCAGAACCTGGTCGTTGTTTCTTTAATATTGACATGGGGTTCCATTATACGTGTTCAAGCAGCATTTGCCACTGGTATTGGAAGGACCAGGAGATTATGGGGTGAATAAGTTTAGCTTGCACAGTGAATCATGACAAAGTGACAGGTGGATTCTCTTGACCTACTGAGCTGTCAGATAATCTGGAGAAGGTGGACTGCAGGGAAGTTAATGTTTCTAAGCACTTGATATGCCAAAGGATTCAAAAAGTAGAGAGTGGTTCTTAAGCTTTGGTGTCCTTAAGAATTACCTGGGGAGCTAATTAAAAGTGAGGCTAAGCAGGCTGCCCCCTCCACTCCCAGACATTCTGATTCATTGAAGCTGACAGTCCTCAGACTAAACTTGAAGGCAAAAGAGCTCTCCACTGAAGGAGTAATTGAATAGTTCATTAATTCAAATTATTAAAATAATTTCATTCCCCTATTTTTGAACCTGAAAATAATTCATGAACAAGTAAATGATTTTTTTTCAATCAGTTCAGATGGCGACGCAGTCTCCTCAGCCCTGTCTCCCATTCTCTTTTTCTATGGACAGCAATTTCTTGCCAGTTATTCTTTCTGAAGAGACAGCATGTCCCTGTCA